TTTTGCAAACTCCTTCTTTAGTACTTAAGCTGTTACCCAGGACGTCTGTCGCGTCCCTTGCCGTCATTCTTGCAAGTTAATCTTAAAAAAATATACATATAGCGTCGTTTTTTAGATCATTTAAAGAAGAATCATACACTGTTATAGCCTTCCTCGATAAATGCTTTAACCAACACGAAGAATTTTTCAATTCGAACCCGTAGTTCCCGAGATTAGCGCGTTCAAACAAGAAACAAACTCTTCAGCTTTATATATTAGTATAGATATAGAAAAGTATTCAAAGCTTTTAAGAAGTACACAAAGCTTGTTATGTACCTGCTTATGACGTAAATGGGTTATGGAGCGATAAATCCTCTAGAATCAACGACTGTCTGCTTGAGTACTATTTCTAGTAGGAGATAAGTATAAACCATGAGTTTAGGTATTTGCACTTACGAATTTACGTCATAAAAGTTACATTTATCCGCGTCCATCATCGATACATTATTGATATGAAATTTTTGGGTTCTAATTTTAAACGGGTTAAAATTTCAATTGTTAGTCATATTTATGTAAGTACGGAGAGTTCGTTTAAGTATTTTTTTAATATGGCCAGTATTTTCTAATATTTACGAGTCAGAAAATCCTGGCCGTATTAAAAAATATATGTTTTAGATTAATAATTACTATTATAAATACTTCACACGATAAACATCACAATGCACCAACAGTGTTTCATCTACAAAATTAAAGAGAAGACAGCGAGTTTATGTATTAAAAAAAGGCTAAACCGCTTTAAACAGGGAAGATAACTGAAGGTGTGTCTATTTAAGATTAACAGACAAGGTTGGGGTTCTTTAGATGTTAGTAGAAATACCACATCCATAAGTTCTAATTAAGATAAGATATCGACCTATTTTGGCTGTGGATCAGATCACCATAGACTAAGATTGAAACGCCGATATGGACGATGGTTCGGTACCCGGACGGAATTCTAATCTACTAACTTTATTAAGTTTTCCAGACTGGGTTCGATATGTAACAGAAAAACTACAATGATTTAGATATATGTTAGATCCGATGGTATTTGAACCCAAGATTCTTCCATTATTAGTTACAATGCTACTGTTGGATGGACGAGTCTGACAGAGAGCTTACTCTAGTTATCTGAGAGAACGCAGGTGCCCACCACGAGGTGCCGCTAGTTGTAACAGACACATTAAAGCTCTACATTGCAGTGAAAGCTTTCTTTGATATTTCTCGCTAGTAAGTCTTGTAGTGAAAGTTTCGTCCGTGATTCGCAATCTTCTCGATAATAAAAAAATTGGCCAAGCGCCGCAACGAAAATATTAAAAATGTTTTCTTAATATTTATTAATATCGCGTGCTCAAAAACATTTTTTTTTCTATTTCTTCACTTCTATTGGTTACAGTCTGATGTTTAGCCTAGAGCCTTTCTTGATTAATGCTTTAACCGACACAAAAGGATCAATTCGTACCAGTAGTTCCTGATATTAGTGCGTTGGAACAAACAATCTCTTCAGCTTCATAATACATACTAGTATGGCTTTGTGAAACCCTAAAAAGCCTGACGAAATAAATTCTGAGAAATTCGCAAAATTCGTTACAGGATCAACGCGCAAGGTTGGATTTTTGAAGTTGAGTTCAGTGGTGGGGCAAAGGATACGGCCTACAGGTAGACGCATACCGACATTCCTGGAATAGCTGTACGTGTTCTTCCAGACTGCCACGACGCTCGACGTCATGGGGTATTTGAACAGGGTCAATAACCATTATACAGGATGCGCGCTAGTGTAAAGTTATTAATTTGTGCTTGTTGTATATATTTATATTCTTATCTAGAATAATATTGAATTAAAAAATAAAATCCTATCACCGCCGACGAGATATCATATCCCCGGGATTAAAATCTGTCGTTATATACAAACTTACTCTTTTTTCAATCATTATTAATAATTGCGAAGGGTACATTATTTATATCGACGGTACAGTCTGTAGTGTCTGCGTTTAGACAGCTTAGTTTAACTTTGTAGTAACTCTAATTAACTACTACCTATTATACATATAAAATATGTTTTCTAAACTTGAAATACTAATTTTAAAGTAGCCTAAGTTTTATTCGCGTAGAGATATTCTCTATGTCTATATCCATATTCCATACTAAAAGACAGAGAAATCCCGTCTCTTCTCGTGAGAATCGGGTGAACAAATTTCTGTATCCGTGTCAGTGATCGGTTTATAGGCAAGCCTTTGATCCGTACATCTGTGTCTTGCTCGATCAATCTATTGTTTCCCGGAGTTCGAACCCAAGACCGCTTAACCTAGACGCTGTAGCTTCATAGTTAAACGTCCATTGAGTTACAGAGTCATTTTAAAGTAACTGGAGATTTCAAAACGAAACGGTACTTTCAAATCAAACTGTGCTCCCCTAACTTAAAACGGTCCTAATAATTATAGTCTAAAGACCAAATGCAACGCGGCCATTGCACGCACCTCAGGGTGTATAGAGTTCAATGACCTCATTAATTACGTAATAATTATAACAATACACATAATAAATCGTTGACAATCTAACATACTGATCGCTAAGAAAACTATTGAGAATAATGTATCTTTTTATTTCATTATTGCTTTGTTATAGATAACTTGTCGCTCTATGCGAGTGGTACGCACTGAATGAAATCTTTGCAATAGTCAAAAAGGAAGGCTATATCCATTGACTAGCTGTGGGGAATAGTTATTTTGACCCATCATATTATACATTTTTGCAAACCTCAGGTTTATAAATTATAGCTAGCCACGACGGCGTCCGCGTCTCGTCCTTTTTGCGAGCGAATATTAAGGTAAAGATATATTGTGCGGACATTTTTGTAGATCTCTTAAAGAAGAACTATTCTTTCATACATATTTTTTGGTTTGTTGAACCGTTTTCGCCGCGCACGCAACGGGAGCCATCAAAGATGAATATTTTCCCAGTTTTTTTCATATTTCCCTTTGATTCTAAGCTCATATTGATCGCAGTCTGACGTTTTATAGCATACAACCTTTTTAGACAAATGGTCCAACCACGACAAAAATCACTCAAGTCAAATTTCGAATCGGTAGTTCCTGAGACTAGCACGCCCAAACAAATTTGTATAGACTAAGTTTAACTAGGTACTCATTTTAGATGTTTCACAAAACTCATGGTCCAGGAAGTCCAGAGTTATAACAGTGTTATATTGATATAACATCTTGGTATCAATCTAATTAGTCTGAAGAAAGCAAAGCGTTGTACAAACTTTGCTTTTATTATAAGTACGGAAACATATTAGTTGAAACTTAAAAGGATAATTGCCTCTAGAGAGAACCGCGTGTTCATATTGTTATCTTTGTGCTGTATTGATGTATGCAAACGTGACAGCTGCATGTTGCAGTGACTGGCCATGCAGTGAACCAGAAAGGTCGTCGACTCCGCAAGACCAGACTTAATTGGTTCACTTATAAATAAAGCAGACTTGAACTCGTCTCCTACTGAGCTACAACGTCTCGCTCGTGTCGCTCGTGTTGCTGTTGTACCAAAGTTACAAAACATCTAATATAGGCCTTATTACAAAAAAATACTTAAACCAGAACTGCGGAGTCTTAGTTTAACTCTTAAACCATGGTCTAAATGAATCTAAGTTAGTACCATAGTTAGTCCAGTACTAACGTTAAACTTCGTTTTGTAATAAGTTTCAAAGGGAACGGTTTGAGAGTTCTTGTAAAAAGTAATATATCAAATAGTCATATGTCAAAATTCTTTCCATGGGTCAAAATTATTTCCATAATCTATACTATTATGAAGCTGAAGAGTTAGTTTGTGAGACTTAAAATATTTTCACATATGTTATTGCACTGTATATATATTGTGTTTGGGGATATATATACTATGGATGCCGGTTCAATCATCCTGCCTGTGTGGTAATTAAAAAAAAACTAATATCTGTTTTTTGAGTTTGTTTGTTTAACCATGACAATCTCAGGGACCAGTGGTTCGAATTAAAAAAATATATTTTTGTTTAGGCTATATAAAATCACACTGCAAGGACTGGACGTTACACTGAAAAATTGGATATTTAATCCCAGGGCTTCCATTGCGTGAGTTGCGAAAACGGTTCAAAACAAAAAAATATGTAAAAAAGAATCATTTTTACGATCCGATACAGTATGTCTATATTTTAAGATTAAGTTGCAAATACTATTTTTATGGTTATCAAATTTGGTCAAAATTAATGCTTACAACCAATTGTTAGATAGAGTTGTGTCTACATAATAAAATAAATCTTATAAAGAATAAAACAACGTTTGCCGGATTAGCTAGTGCAGTTAAATAGGATTTAATCTTAACATATTGGATTCAATGGGTAGTAAATTTATTTCGTTTTTTAATGTAGATATTTGTGTATCTAAGTTTGTCTACAGCTAGTTGACCAGATTCCACCAGTTGCTTGAATGAAAATTAAATCAAAGTTCTACGTTTGTCAGAAAATGGTATAGGCAATTTTCTTAAACGTGCCTGCTGGGCCAGCTGTTAACGAAAACGTAATATCGGAATAAATTTATTTCCCTTCCTTACAAGTAAGACGGTCAAAGACTATTACAAATAATGTAGATACTAGTCACGTGTGATATACAACGTAGAAACGACAGTAGAACACGTCATAAATAATATTAAAGTATGAATCAGAAGTGTTACTTAATTTTATACGACGATATGCGTTTTATATTTTAATCAGGTACAATATAGTACTGTACTAATTAACTTCGTTTTAGGTTAATCGGTAGCTTTGCATTTGCCTAGGCCTTTGTTCAAAGTACGGGAATTTTAAAAACAATGTATCGGCCAGCTGCCACGGAAATCAGATCACCTACATATCTATAGATAAAACTGATCAGAGAAAGAGATATAATATCTACTTTATGCCGCACATGTGGGACTTATTATCGTACTATAAAAGGGGATTCCCAAAAAATACTTACAGCGTCGGTGGTGTGACCACAAACAGAAAGTCGGCGTACTCAACCCATCGGGATAGGACTGATGATTTGCTGGTGGCGACGGTCGAATCACAGATTTAGACCGCGACTGATCTGTAACAAGGAATTCATCTCATATAATTAAATGCATAATTCTTGTAAACTTGGCACTTTGTACTTATGGACATGGAAGAAAATGATAGCCCTTGGTAACGCTCCACGCCAAATATATGTATATATACATATATGGTGACGGTTGACATTTTAGACATTTTCAGTTAGTTTCATTCACTATATACGATGTGATTTTAAGCTTTAAAACTTCACCTAGATAACAAACAACATTTAAAGGTAGAAATACCTTTTTTTTTCATTATTTTTTTTTTTTACATATTGTAATTAATATTAACATACGATCATTAACTGTACAAACGCAACAATTTATACAAATTACCTTTATAAGAATTATTAAACGATTCAACGTCGGCAATCTACGCCGTAGTCGGAAAATTCAAATTAAATAAATACGTCGCGGATCACAAAAAGAAAATACACGCGTACGTCCTATTCGCCGTAATAATCTTAATAATTATGTGGTTATTCAATTTGTGTAATAAATTATTTATATTAATATGTAATGTATTTGACCCAAATTAATATAGCTAATTCAACGATATTCAAACAAGTATTTTTTTTGATGACTTCGCAAGTTTTCTTAAAATCAGATTAGGCTTTTGCCTACTCACCATTTTTACATAAATGTACATGGAATATTACGAATTTATTTTCATTGTTGGCACGTTTTTAGTCAACTTCGTATGATCATTAATTTGTTATATCAATATTCCTCCTATACAATTTAAATTAATTTCCTTTGCGTACTGTAATATGACAAGTTGATTTTTCAGTGATTTTAAACCGCGTTAAGATTTGTCAAGATTAAATTAATTGATAGAAGAAAGAAGAAGGTTTTTTTAAATGTTTTCCCCTTGAATTCCTGTTTATTTCGTCGAATTGTAGACAAAAACAATAAAAGAAACAAATCTTAAGAAGTAATTTTGCATAAATGCATTAATTAGAATTTTGTTTTACTTCTATTAAATATATGCGACATTTAATTTCTTCCCTTTATTAAATGATTATTATTCAATCAAATTGGGTTGAACCCCATCTGGGTTTGAGCGAATGTTAAAGTTATGACACATTGAAAACATACTTCATGATTACGTTCTGTCAGTTATCGAACATTATCTTTCCATTGTAAAATGCGGAAATTGATTTGCTCCATTAAAAACTCATTATGCCATATTTCATTAATTATAATGCATAAGGCATTTAAACAAAAATCAAAATGTTTAGGAAGCAATTACCAAGTATGGATTCATACCATCGATATCTTGTGTGTGCGGTCTGTGATAAAAGACAGTACGATAATGATAAACCCTGAAATGCTCGAGTGGTTTTGGTGACAAAAATTTGTGAACCTTTTAAGCACACAACTACATTAAAAAATTTGTCTTCTATCATAGTTTTATATCACTGACATGTATAGCTATTGTTTATTAAATTGATGACGTAAAAACTGTCTGTAGTTCACGCGAGTAGTAAATAATATTTAAATAAAACTTATTTTAAATTTATAATAATATACATTATGGTGTTTTAAACCGTTAAAGTGTTTTATTAAAATTGATGACGTAATTTAATAAATATTTTGGCTGTAAGCATTTACAGTCTTCAAGTTAATAAGTTTTTTGCTGTCCGCTATACCTGGGAAGGCAATCTTGTATTGTAGCTATGAAGACATAATATTAAGGTTACGTTAAGTTTTCGAGACCCGGGCAAACAATTAATTGTTTCGGTCCGGAAGAACATTAAAGTCTGACAAACCACCTATTTGCCTAACAATAATAAAACAGGTGTGTAAAATTGCGATTTGTGAGAAATGTTGTCTTAATAAATGTCCTACAGAAGAAATTTGATAATTCACTGTTACCGATATTAGTAAGTAATACCCATCTAAATTTGATGCTAACTAACGTTTAGTCTGTTTGAATCGTAATTAGCCATTAGCATCACAAACGCCGTGTTGTCTGAAGGAACTAACATCAACACTCGCTTGAAGATATAAACAAAACATAAAGATGTTAACTGAGATGAGTACCGACTATAGTCTGTTGTGGGGTGGTCTATAATGATAGCAGTAGGTCGTGGAATTATCTTATCACTATTTCAGATGATATGTAATTATGAAACCTACCACATCGCTAACCGAAACTTTAGTTTCTTTTTTATAAAGTAGGACAGACAAGCACAGGTTTCACTTGGATGGTAGGCAACAATACTTAATTTTACCCCAATTTATTAATTTTATTTAAAGTTAAGTTGGTAATCAAAGCTTAACTGATCTGCCCGATGCTATTACTTGTCGTGCTTAAAGCGATGCTAAGTGTCGTTTAGATCGAGGTACAAAGGCGATGTAACATCGTAGAAATCTATTTATTATATGCTTTAAATTTCTATAATAGGGAGAATTATATTGAAAAAATATATATTATAGAAAATATTGTTAAACTTTTTCAAATAACATCGGGTCTAGTCTGCCTATTAAAACACAAGATATGCATGCAGAAGTTGAGTGTATAAAAAAACTTGGAACAATAGCGGTAAATACTGAGAAAATGTTATTTCTACTCTCTTATATTCTATAACCCGGGTTCGATATATTTAAAACTATGATGCAGACAAAAAATGTATACATGGTCGAGAGTCGCGCCAATACAACCAATATAAACAGCAAAAATATGTTTGGAACCCAACTCAAATTTGTTTTTTATCTGTTAAGGACCTTTGTTACGGAACCATAAATATTTCATAAACACGTATATATCCTGATATTGTTCCGCTTGCGAACGTAAAACGCAAGATGCCGCGCCAGTACGCATTTATTATTTACTCGTTAATTAATTATCGTTTGACGTAAAATTTTCCCAGTTAAAATCAATCATAAATCAAGACATGTTTAAGATAAGAGTTCACACCGCCTTTGTCTAAAATCTTACGTTCAATCAAAGTTTGTTACAAATCCATTCTTTATTATAAGTTTGGTACTTTCCAGAATTTTTATGTAATTAATGTAAAACATAAATGACATGTCAAAATGTCAATCCTGATTGAATATTATATTTAGGTATAATTTTGCCTTTATTATGACAGCGTTGAAAAAAACATGGATAACTCGTAAAACGGAGTTGAAATATATACCACAATATAAGAATTATAAAACGAAAAGAAAATAACATATATAAACTCTAAATACCGTTTATAATAGTAATAGATAATACTAAAACATGATTTAAATTAGAAACAAAGCACAGTAAGTTTTGAATTTCCTCTTAAAATTATCCCTAAACAACGAATTCACAGAATTCAATACGTAGTAATATATATCGGTGAAATATTCTACCGCTTGCGCAGAACCAAAATTATGTATTAAATTGGTATTATAACATCTATTGTTTATACTATTCTATATTCATTAAAATCAGAGTATGAGAAAATATTTTAATAATGCGTAAAATTGCATTTAATTGCTATATCAAATAGATTTTATAAGCAAATTATTATATGGAAATTAGCCGACCTTTAATTTTTTTAAATCTTTCCAAAATTGTATAGGAATTTATTTTGTGATTCATACATGCATATCAAGTTGGATATATAATCAAACTAAGTATCTATCGATTGCTCGAAGAACTAACGGGGAGCTAACATCTCCTGATGCCGTCCGCTCGTGATGGCGAGACGTCGAGAACCCCTTCTTGCTCACATCGGCCGAACAGCCCAAAACACAATGATTTGATGAACGATGGCCGTGAAAGCCTTACACAATTTATCAAACTAGGTAGCCAATATTCCAAACAAACGGCAAAACGCAAGTTCCTAAGGAGGGGTTACGAATCTTGATAAAATTTTATCTTAATGCAGCTGACAACTAGCTGAGTTTCGAAATCATTATCTACTTTTAAATTGTAACACAAAAGATCTGCAGAATGGACGAGAAATTTCAATGTGATAAATAAAATTGAATCATGCGCATAGCAGCTCGCAAAGTAATGAACTCTCATTGCTGTCAGTTAAAATTCGTCCTCATATTTTAATTAAACTAGGTTACTGAGAAACAGTTTTACCGTTAGTTAATAATGTACGGTACGTAGCCTTCAAAACTCGACAATTCTGTGTTTTAAGTGTAAAGATAAGAATTTTATTATTGCTATAAAACGCCATTTAATGGCACAGCCTCTTTTTTAAACTTAAGTACACTTTGCAATTTTTTCAATTCATAAGGAAACTCAACATCCAATCTAAAATTTACGATTTCAAAATGTATATTTAAAAATGTCTTTAAACTTAAATAATATCTCTAGTTCACATTGAATAAAGAATATTTAATTTTAAAACTCAAAACATTGGTAAACTTTAAAATTGTTGTTTAACACGTTCTCAAAGTGTTTTATTCAATAAATTATAGATGTAGTATTTATTATATACTAGCTGTGTCATCGACTTCGTCGCCGAGAATCGTTATTTCGGGCATCCAAATTCATTTTAGCCTATAAGCCTTCCTCGATAAATGCTCTAAGCAACACAAAAATAATTATTCAATTCGAACCCGTAGAGATTAGCGCATTCAAACAAACTCTTCAGCTTTATATATTAGTAAATAGATGTACTACAACTAGGTACACGAGAAAAACATTTTAAAGTTAGTTTTATTTATAATATTATGTTATTCGTTCTTTAGCTGAGAAGAATATGATTATATGACCATGTTTTATAAAAAATCTTTGCTTACGTCTGTCTGTAAGTGTCAACAAAGTAGGTAGGTATATTGGCTCTTCCCCAAACGATTTTAAAGTCCTAATCACTTGTTAAAATATAAAACACGAAAAAAAATCGTATAGGTAAATATTGTCTGTAGTTTACGCTAGTAGTACACATTTAAATAAACACTTTAACGGTTTAAAACGCGACATATATATGCTAAACGTCACGGGGAGACCACGTCTCTATTCATTTCAATGTAACTAATATATATCGCGTTTTAAACGGTTAAAGTGTTTTATTTAATCGTATAGGTATATAAATGATTACACAAAATTCAACATTTAACTATTTCTCATAGCAAGTTATAATTTCGTCATCATTTTAACTATAACTGAAATCGACTTCACTATCAGTGCCACTTTCAAGGCTGATAACGACGCCGCTTTAACAGCGTGCACAAAAATACGTGAAATTTCGTGATCTTATCACCGCACGAGTAATATATTAACATTTGGAATTTTTGTCTGGTGCTAAGCGAGACTGTCTA